TTAAAGCACAGGTCTGCACTGAACACCAGAGACATCTTTGGACCTGGCGATGCTCTTTTCCAGAGTTTCTCACAAACCCTTTGTTTTTACGGAAGCAGTTGGCTTAACAGAAGAGAAAAGCAATGGGGTTTTTTCTGAGCTTCAATCCCAATGTAGATGTCTTTTCTCTGTCAGTTGCACTCATTCTTTTGAACCTTGCTTTGTCTGTGCCTCTGTGCATTACTGTATGGCTTTGTACGTTCCAGTTTTACTCCATGTCACAAATATCTGCGTCAGTTAAATATAATGATACATGTTAAGAAGTGCAGAAGCTTTAACTTAGTCATAGCTGCCACTTGACAAAGCCGTTTTTTGGTGGATTAGGAGGTGAAGCCAGAACAGTTTGGAGTCCAAACAGAAAAGTCGCTGCCTGTTTTCCCAGGCCTTCGGGACTTTACATTTGCTTCGAACCAATAGGGCATGAGGCACGGAGGCAGGCAGATCCTAACTGCAGAAATCCTAGATGCAGCGCACCATCCCAGTTCCCACATCCAGATCAAGAATTAGAAAGGGAGACAATTCATAACACGGTTATTATGTAAAACATATGCACAAACGGAGGCATTGTGTACACTAGCATAATTATCCACCGCTGACAATGAATATGCTGGTGCTGAATGTGATTAACCTGCGAGCACAGCCAAGAGCTGTTGTTTCAGAAAGCCCATGTTAAACCTGTCTGCTTGTGAAACTGTGTTCAGCACTGCTTTAATTGCACCCGTTGCTGACACACGTTGTCTATAACAAGCATTTTTGCTGCTGTAGACAAGGGTAAATGTAAGGATGTCGCAGTGAGCCAAAGCTTGAAAGCCCTCACTTAGCTCGTATACTCAGGATTTAAACTACTGGGGAAATTTTATGTCTCTGGCTATTTATTATTACATACAACATGTTCTTGGAAACCACTCCACATTTAACAGCAGTTAAACCCATCTGCTGCTCCTGAATTTTCATTTCATTCACAAGCCTGTTTTAAAAGTATTTTTGGACTTATCACCAGTGTGCTATCAACTGTTTATTATTCTGTTTTAAGTTGGTAAGAAGAAGGACTCAAATTTAAAAGGAAATTGTACCCTCATATATTTTTGAGCTTTTCATTGAAACTTGCCTTCCTCTCATTGTCTGACATAATTGAAATTTTTAGTTTAAAAGCAATTATTTGCCACAAAAGTTCATCACCTCATGCTAAATGCTGATTTTAGTGACTTGTAACTGAATATGTGTAAATTCTGCAGAATTCATCTAGTAATTACATCATTGGCATAAGAAACGTGCTTGAACTTAGCAATGTGATCAAAGATACTGTTCAGTATATTGAAGTTCCTGCAAGTGCAACAATTTTTCATTGCTTTATTTAAAAAGACTATCACAATTTTCTTTAGACGTCTCTTCTCCCTATGTTCATGTTTTATTACTGTTACTTGGCATAGCAGTACTTCAATGCCTTCTACATAAGATTAACAGGAACTTCGTATTTCCTTGAGATTTTCATGAGATCTTCTTCACCTTATGAAGATTTTTTTTAAACAGAAAACTTTATTTTCCTCAAGTTTTTTTGTGTGGCTGACTCGTTGTATGATACTGTATGATGTTCTTGTATGAAGGTAATTTTTGTTGGACCAAGGGACTTCCCAGTATTTAATATGTGCTAATTTTTTTTCCATGGCACTAAATTGAACCTTCCTTAATCCACAGATTAACAAGGCTTTCCAGACTATAGGTATATTTAAACCGTTCTAAAAGTGGAATACTTCAACAGTGACACTTGTTTGTCTCTAGGTCTTGTGTAAAACTTTGGCTGGATTTTTAAAAGTGAGTTCTCCCAAGGGATCACAACTGCCATGGTAGTTCATAACATTTAAGGTATTTTGAAACATCTTTTTTTTTTAATTAAAGAGCAGGAGATTTAGATTTTCTATGCAATAAACCACAAAACTTTATATTTAAACTATATCTTTATACTCAATAATACCTAGTATCAATGACAATGTCTGTTAACAAATAGAAGACCTTCTTAAAAAAAAAAGGATAACTTTTTGGGGTGAGATTCAGTTGTCTTATATAGGCGTCTAGTGCTATTATAGATGTCCCGCAGGATCTGAGATGTGCATGCGGCTGTCAGAAATGAGAGAAGGAAACTGAAGCAGCAGCTGGAGACAAAGTGATCATAGAATCATAGAATCATAGAATGGTTTGGGTTGGAAGGGACCTCTAAAGGTCATCTAGTGCCACCCCCCCTGCCCTGGGCAGGGACATCTTCAACTAGAGCAGGTTGCTCAGAGCTCCCGTCCAACCTGACCTGGAATGTTTCCAGGGATGGGGCATCCACCACCTCTCTGGGCAACCTGTGCCAGCGGTTCACCACCCCCATTGAAAAAATTTCTTCCTTATATCTAGTCTAAATCTACCCCCTGTTAGTTTAAAGCCGTTCCCCCTTGTCCTGTCACAACAGTGCATCTAATGACACAAGACACCTTTGTTTGGGAAACTCAATCTCACCTTTAGGGTTGTCACATTTATAACATACAATATGATGCTTATGAAGAATGCTGTTTATAAATGCTATCTCACTTGCATTTGAGTAGAGTCTATTCAAAAGCCTATTTTTACAGAGAGGATTACATTTCTACATTGTATATCCACTTAGTGCCATTTGTACAATCTTAATTTGAAAGCAAGTGTATATATATAATTTCTTTTTAAATTAGCAGAGAGGAATGTGCCTTTTGCTGTTAGCTGGCCACTAATCATCTGGTTGCCAATTAAAATTGCTGAAATTAATAGGGAATAAATTTCCCATGGATGAAAACTATGGAGTCATAGCATGTAGGACTGGAAAGGATCTGTTTCAATGTTTCAGCACCCTAGCAGTTAGAGGCTTTTTTCACAGCAGCAAATTTAGGATGAGTTCTCTGGATTCTGTCCTCAGTGGAGACAACTGATCACTAACCCCATGTAATATCCTGTTTTCAGTCTTCCCGTGGTTGTGGTTTCTGAATCCCTCATCACTCTTTTTCCTCTCCTGTAGATTTCCTTTGGCTTTTTCAGTACCTATCTTAAAACACAGTGCCCCCAAAATGATACAGTTCTGCTGGTGTCTCATCACCAATGATTACAGCAAAATAGTTCTAGCCCATGTCCTTATACACAGCAATCATTCATATTTTGAAGGAAGGCCATGTTGCAGCAGAACCTCACTCTTGGCTCCTCCTTAGTTAATGATCTCCACATAGATGTTCCTTACTCTGTATTTTTGCATTTGATGTTTCCTCCGTCAGAGCAGTGCTTACTGCTCTGTGAGCATTTCTTCTATCTGTGTTTATGAAACTACACATTCCTTTTCAAAAGTCTCTATAGCCAAATTCACAAACTAAACTACATATATGCAGAACCTTCCTGTGGTCAAAATGCATCAGCCCTGGTGGACTTGTCCACTTAATGCCTCCCAGTCGCTCCCGGGAGACTTGGTCCTGATGTGTAGGAATCCACGGCCACTCATTACACTGTAAAAGAAGTTACTCTAGATTTTGTCATGTTAAAAATCCTGTCCGTAGGAGCTCGATTGAATATTCAGACCTCAATTCATCCCACTTCACTGAGGTGGGAATGCATCCTCCTAAGAGTGACTCAGTGCACTTAAGCTCTGAACCATTCTCAGGAGTTTCCCATGTCTCAAAGGACTCTGCTCCCAGCTGACACATCTAAATGCCTAAAGTTTGACAGCATCAATATAAGGCTCAGTTCTTGAGAATACCGTTGTATGACAGCAGTAATCCTTTTAAGCGGAGCTAGAAGTCCCTTTTCCTTAGACTATACTTAACATTAAAAATGTTATACCCTGAGTTTTTTGATAATTAGTAGCCATTCTTTATACCAACAGTGTTTCAAGACTTCCCTGAATGACTTGTTAACCTAATGGTTTTATGCTTGCTGTTAAAAAAGACTTAATCTTGCAGGTGAGAGTGAAAAAGTGTTATTTTTTTGTCCATTTGTTTTTAAAATGTTGTATTCTTTAGTAATATAGAAACAAAAAGTCTCTAAAATAACATACTACAAAGGTGAGGGTCAGCATCACATAAACATCATAATGAATATGGACTTTGTAAAAATGCTTTTCAGTACCTTAGGTATTAAACATTCTGTAAAAAAAACTATTGGATGCATCGCTACAGACATGGTAGTTTTGCTATTAACAAAAACTGCGATCCTTGCAACATAAGTCTCCCTTTTACTGACAGGGCTCTTCCATATTGTTGTTGTTTGTTAAGAACTCGTGTGTTTTCTACAACGGCATTGACTCATGCCTAGGCAGGAGCCTGAATTCATTGCAGATATTCTGTTTCACAAAAAATGACGCCTGATGTTCATTAAAAGCAAATGTATAGTCTCCTACTGTTAAAACTTCACAAATTCATAGTGTTAATTAGAGTGGGTTTTAAAATTTAGAAGCAACAGGGTTATTTCTAATTTTAGCTAGAAAGAGGTGGACTGTCAAGAGAATGTTTATTTATTCCTTTCAGCCTTTTTGCTTGATTTGCTAATAATTACTTGGGTTTGGTAGATGTTGCATACTAAAAATAAACTGAAATATAGTAGTACAGTGTTAATTCTTGTAAAATATATATCCCTTGCTTGTTCTCCCTTGAAGGATAAATAGCTATTCCATAGATATTTATAATCGATAATATGCTCTCACATTTTGAATATTATGTAATATAATGCCATTTCATTTTTGTTAAAAAGCCTCTGGGCAATTCAGCATGTGTTAACACCGGTTTACAGCTTGAAGGGAATAGGTGGCATGCCAGATTATTTCCCAAAGAAGTTATAGCAAAAATGAGCCCCCAGCCCCCAAAAAACAACCTGGGAAGCAAAAACACAGAACTAAGCACCATATGCAAACACGATGAAAAATCTGAGTTTGGAACATGTCCTGAGTAGATGTCTCTATGTACTTCCAGAAAGGCCAAGAGGAAGAAAATCCCACAGGTAGAGGCCTTCAGCTGGGACCTTTTCCTGAAATGGAATGGACTAATGCACAGGTGAGAGTAGTGAATTTAGCTGTGAGAAATAAGTGAGGAAAGGAAATAGTTTCTGGACTGCTGCTTCATAATTTTGCCAATTTTTCTCACCAATGCTCCCCTAGACTGAAAAGCACCTGTTCTGAGTTAAAAAAAATATTTGTGTGAATGCTTCAATAATTGCCAAGATGCTGTGGCATATAAGAAGCCTTGGCTACATACTGATCAATCTGAAAACAATTTGGGTTATTAGGAAAACAATTTGGCCTCACCTGACTTTTGACATCTGAAGAAGTCAATGATATTGCCGTGGTAGTCAATGCAGAGACTCTTCCTGGACGCAGTTCTTCTAACCTGTTTTGAATGTCTCCTCTAGATGGAGGTGGATCGTGCCCTGAAAATGATTGTCTCTCTCCATTGTCTAGACACTCTTTATGATCAAGTAACTTAGATGTAAATGTCTAGACTTTAGATAACTCATGTGGTCAGGAAAATTTCACCTTTATCTTTTTGAAATTTCTTTTTATTGTCTGTTGGCCTTGCAGAGATACAATCAATCTCTGAGGTGTAACAGGCAGAACCAGCCTGGGATATAGGACAGGAAGACTAAGTATATTTGTGCTGAATAGTGCTGCTATCACGGTCCTGAGGAGCCTGACAGACAAGAGCATTGTTGAAGTTGTCTGGGTTTTTTTAATCAAAGAGCTTTTTCGATCAAGGAGCTGTCATTGAAACTAGTAGTACAAAAAAACTCCAAATCAAACAAAAATACCAGTGACTCTCTTGCACCAGGATACTAACCTCCATAAAGTTCTGTTATCAAAATATTCAGTTTAGTTTATGTTGCATTTGTGTTCTCACTTGTCAGTGTATGACCTCCTGCTGTTATGATAATAGATGTGTGAGAAACTTGATACTTTGGTTGTTTGCTAGATGGGTCCTTTGCAATCTCAGGAGGAAAAGGCGGCAGTTTAAGATATAAGGATAATGCACACTAATGGGATATTTCTGGTAAAAGTAGTCTAAAGTGATATATTATTGTTGTCCAAATTGCTATCCTTTGATTTCAGAGTTAACAAGACACTGGGATAAATAGGGCAGATGACAATTCTGAGTGACCTTTGCACAGCTCTCTGCCAGCTGGCCATCAGTTTATAATGGCTTAGGATGTCTAGGTAATTTTCCTAAATACAAGAGCCAAAAATTTGTGGTGCTTAAGGTGGCAACCCAAGATGAATTCAGTGGCAAGTATAATGGATAAGAACTCTTACAGTATATATCTGGACGCTCAATTTCTCCCTCCTAAGATTTTGAGAAAGGTTTAATGAAGCTTATTTCTTGGTTTATTTTGGATGCACACAACTAATTTTTGCTGCTTTTTTGTAACACCAAAAAGAAGAAGAAATGAAGCTAGTCAATCACTGTTTAATTAATCATGTCATTTATTCATGCAAAGATGAACAAAACCTCTGATACCTCTTCAATACTGAGTGGCACACAGTAGGAGGGAAGTGCTGTTTGCTCCTTAACAAGCCCATATGGTGGTAGGAGATCCAGTGTCCCTACTATGCAAACAGCACTGAATCTTTAAAAGCATGTTAAACAACATCTTCCAGTGATAAAATAAGTAAATCAGAAGGCTCATTGCTTGATAACTTTCACCTAAGAGCCTTAAAAATGGAGGCTGAAGAGATCTGTTGAAGTATTTTTTAAATTCTAGAGATGGAGTGTGAGTATCATGCTATTTTTAACTTTTTTTTCAAATAATGCTGCAGAGCAGGTTAGCTATATGTCAGCCCTGGAAAATATATTGGAAAGATTAATGAGGATTTAGCTAAGAAAGCAAACATAAGAATAAATTAATGGTAGGAATAAATTAATGATAGTTAGCATAGTTTTAAAGCAAAGCAATTATGTTAGATAAACTTCATTTCAGAATGTGAATTTGCTTGATGAATGGTCCTAGGTGTTGTTTAGTCTTTTGTAAGGCATTTGATTTAATTTTACGTTGTATCTGGTATAAATAAATAACAGTATACTTTATCAAAATAATATTCCTTAAGGACTGATTAGCTGACATCTCGAAGTACTAGTCAACGAGAAATGACCCTTACACAGAAATTTTGAGGGATAGTCTTCCACGATTTAGAATTGGATGTGGACAACATCCAATATTTCAATATTTTCATAAATCATTTGGAAGGCGGCATGAAGTCTTGGATGGTAAAATTTACAGATGATGCAAAGATTGAAAAAGTAGAAAGAAAAAAGAGAACACAACAGTCAGACAGAGCAATCCAGTTACAGTCTAGCCTGGCAAACAGAGGCCACTCAAACAAAATTATTATTCCCTAGAAGAGAAGTATTACATAGCCAGAAGGAAGCAATGCCAGCCATACATACACAGAGGGGACCCCTACAGTGGAAATAAGTCACACTAAGAAGGTTCCAGATGAAAGAATAGACAACTCAGTAGAGCTTGTCCTATGAACTTTGAATGTTAAAAGAAAGACTAAAAGTTAAGAATAAGGAGGTGGTTTTATTTGTATGTGCAACAACAGTGAGGTTATGGAAATATCATGACAAGGTTTGGAGACTATACTTTTAAAAGATATTAAATACATATAAAGAGAGAGAACAGAGACTAGAGTGGAGAAAAATTCTTCCAGGGAGAGACATGCAGTAATGACAGTGTATTCCTGTGGGGAGACTGAGAATAAGAGGATTCTTCAGAGTAGCAGAGAAAAGCAGAATAGGTACCAGGGTGAAAGCAAACAAATACTGGGGAGGCGGTTTTAGCAGTGAGAATATAGGACAAACTATCAAGGGAAGTGGTAGATCTCAATCTTGTTATGTTTTTCAGATTAGATGCTTTTCTGAAATAGTTACGCACACTTTAGTTTAAGACAAGTTATTGTCAGTGTTATGAGCCGCAGTACATTGCTAACCTCAGCGATCTAATGATACTTTCTGCCTTAAACCCTGACCCGTTTAGGTGCCTGTTCTCTCCTTCAGCAGAGTCAGCAAAAACTTCTTCAACACAGGAATGTGGGATTAGATGATATAGTTGAGGGAGATTCAAGTCATATAACTAATGCAGTTTATCACCTTCTTCTCCAGCCACTAGTTCAAATGAAGAAATGTGGAGCTGTATTACTTGGTCTAATGAGAGCATTTGCTTCCTTTTTACTCCCTTCCCATGGATGAATGGAGGCTAGCGCTGCTTTTCTCATTTTACGTTTTTCTTGGCCTGAGATATGCAGCTTGCATTTTAATGCAGGCACGAATCAATCAGACTCTATGTAGAAGCCAGAAGGCACGCTACATACAGTTACCTTTTGAAATTTTGTTATTGGCCGCTTGCCTGAAGAGGCTTCTCACGAAAAAAGTGACACCTATATTCTTTGTCATCCACACTTCTGTTATTAATGTCCCAGGGAAAAAAAGTCACAATATGTTATGAGGTCCTTAGGTTCACTTTATTATGCTTCTGTTGGAGATATGTCTTTTTTTTCCTTTTTTTTTTTAACTCTATAATACACCCCATCACATAAAGAGCTCAGTACAGCCATCTCCTGGCCTACACATGTGGAGGATGAAGTTTGAATCCTCCCAGGATCACTGATTTCTGAATTAATTTCCTTCATTGATTTGTAATCTGGAGTAGCTAAATTTTGATTAAAACAGCAAGGTTTTGTTGAGAGGGTTTGATGTTGTTTCAGTGCTGTGTGACTGCCATCTACATCTCGGAGATATTTTGTATAACTGGTTGAAAATCGGGTGGTCTTTAAAATGAGATTTTAGACTTCAGATATGTTGTATCAATTCAGATATTGTTGTATCAATCAATTTCTCAGTGGATTTGACTAGTGGCTTTGCAACTAGTCCCTTGAGTCATCTTGGGCAGCTTGCTTCATTCTCTTTGCCTTTGTTTTCCTATCTGTAAAAGAGAGAGAATATTTTCCTTCCTTTTGAAAAACATTTTGAGAAGCATCATACTGCTTGAAGAGTCTTTAGAGTTTTTCTGTCTGTTTTACGTATAACTAATTCATTATTATACAACCATTACACATATTCTCAGAGCAGTGAATAATATGTTCTCATACAATAACATTCTAGCACATTTGGAAGTAAGAAGAAACTGAGGCCCCTAGTCTGCAAGCCTATAGGTGCACTGATCAGGCCCTAGAGAAAGTATAATTAAAATTACCTTTGTTTTGTCCCCCCCACTACACCCCATTATAGCATTTCTTTTCTAGCTCCCTGCTTTGACTTGCACCTAAAATAAAATACCTTCACTTATTCCCATCCTGCTTACCCTGTATCACTCACTGGGAGAAAGTGACTCTCATCTCCAGTTAGGCAAGAATGGAAGGGTCCATTGTGCAATTGTGAAGTTTTAAAAAAACCATTTTCATGCTTTTTGTTCTATTCACCAGCAAAATCTGTCTTAATGTCTAAATAAAATTCAATGGCTAGGTAATGAGGGGTCTAAGACTTTGGTCAAATCCTGTAAAGAACTGTTGAGCAATGGTTTATGTCTGTTGTCTCTTGTTTTACACTCAGATTGTAAACTTTCTGAAGCTTGGCCACTCCATTTTTAACTTCTGGATTTGCTGCAAGCCTTCAACAGTGGAATTCCAGTCCTTAACACTGAGATACGTAGCGATGCATATAGGGCTAATCAGGAGTTAACATTCTTTGCCTAATCTTAACTTTTCAGCTGGGAAAATGGAACTGAGGTCCTGTATTCCTTATTGTAATGTGAAAAATGCAGTAGCGAACACAGGCAGAGTTTGAGTCTCAAAACCTGATTGTATTAAAGTGGAATTTCTCTGATGTACACATCCACTGCCTTTGTGTACTCAGGGACATATTTATTAACTAACATAGCTATTTAGCTTTTTCTCCTGCTAAGTTTTCAGGAATGAATCTTTGCTCTTGCCTATATACCCCTATAGAATTATCAACTCACGCATTTCTCTGTGAAGAATTTTTGTGCTAAAAATATTGCATGGGTA